CGAGAAGGAAGAAAAGAAGGAGTGAAGCGGTGAACGGGTGTGCATTTGAGTTCATTTTTTGTATTAGTTGCATTTTGAAATAAATAATGATCATGTCATGAACTCGATTTATTTGTTCTTGGAATAAATGATACTAAGAGTTTTGTGTGGCGTTTCGCAGCCAAGTAACTACATTTCAAGAGCGCCGCTTTATGTGTTGCCAATATTTCGACCCTGAAGTGTAATGAAAAATGTCCAGCTTTTTCAAAAAATTGCGAAATTTGATTTTGCGAATTTTATTTTTTATGAAAATCCCTGTAAGTTAAAATAAAAATATAGTCGAGTCAAAGAAGCGTAAAATCGCCGAAACCTCGTAATTCTCAGAAACAGATGCGATTCTGATTTTTTTTTTAACACTTGAAATAATCTCGAGGGTCGCTGTGTTTTATTTTGAAACAACTGAAAAAATCTCGGAAATCTGTTTTCCATTTTTTTTTTTAATTAAAGAATCATGAGGGTCTTTGGTGTTCTATTTTTGAAAGGTTTGAAAGAATGTTGAGGGCCTGTGGTGTTTTGTTCTTGAAATGTTTTTATATAATTTCAGAGATCCCTTTTGTTTAAAAAAAAAACTCAGAAAATCGAGAGAAACCCTGATTTTTTTTTTAAACACTTGAAAAAATGTCGGGGTTCTGGTATTTCATTTTATAAACATTTTGTTTTTTTTTCCTGAATTCTGAAAAAATTTCGTATCTCGGAGGCCCCTTTTGTTTCAAAAGAACTTGGGGAATTTGAAATTTTGTTTTTGGAAGAATTAAACAGATCTTGGAGGATCTTCTGGGTACAGGAAAAAAACAAATTGTTTCTAAAATAAAATACCAGAACCGCCGACATTTTTTCAAGTGTTTAAAAAAAATTGATATAATCTCAGGAACGTTAATTTTTGTTTGTTGAAGGGTTTGACAAGACCCTACGATTTTTTTAAACATGAAAAATCTCGGGGTTCCTGCTAATTATTTCAGAAAATCCCAGGGGAGCCTGATTCTTTTTTGAAGAATTTTTAACGATCTTGGGAACCCCACTTTTTTTAAGCACTTGAAAAAATGTCGTGGTTCTGGTATTTTATTTTAGAAACACTTTGTTTTTTCCCGAATCCTGAAAAACATTCTTATCTCGGAGGCCCCTTTTGTTTCAAAAGAACTTGGGAAACTTGAAATTTTGTTTTTGGAAGAATTAAACTGATCTTGGGGGATCTTTGGTTTTTTTTAAACACTTGAAAAAATCCCGGGCGTTCACACTGTATTATTTTTGAAAAAAACTGGGTCGGTGTGTTTTATTTTGAAAAAGCTGAAAACATCTGGGGAATCTGTTATTTTATTTTTATTTTTTTTTCTTTAATAGGGTCTTGAGGGTTTTTGATGTTTTATTTCAGAAAAATTTGAACCCTACTTTTTTTTAAACACTAGAAAAAATGTCGGCGGTTCGGGTATTTTATTTTAGAAACAATTTTTTTTCCTGAACCCAGAAAAAAATTGATATAATCTCGAAGGCCCTTTTGTTTTGAAAGAATTTCAAAAAATCTGAGGAACCTGAAATTTTGTTTTTGGTAAATGTTTTTTAACACCTCTTTGGGACTCCTGCTTGGTATTAAAAAATAATAAAAGAATGTAGAGGGTCCCTGGTGTTTTATTTTTGAAACAATTGAAGAAACCTTGGGGATCTCTGGTTTTCCATTTATTTATTTATTTTTTAATTGAAAGAATCTTGACGCCCTCTGATATTTTGTTCCTATAAAATAATTGATATAATCTCAAAGTCCCTTTTGTTTTGAAAGAATTCCAAAAATTCTTTAGGCACTCTGAAATTTTGTTTTCAGAAAAATTTGAAAGGAACTTGGTAACCGATTTTTTTTTTAAATACTTGAAAAAATTTCGGAGGTACCTACAATTTTGAAAAAATCCACCATTGAGAGTACGAAAATTGGAGAAATTAAAATATCCAGAAATCCAGAGATTGAAAAATTTCCAAAACTTGAAAAATTTTAAACTTGAAAAATCGAGAAATCTAAAAATTATAAAGTCGAAAAATTGCCAAAATTCGAAAAACGAGATGTCAAGAAATCACATAAAATATCGAAAAATTGAAAACTGAAAAATTGGAAAATTCCAAAACTGAAGTGACGAAAAATTGAGAAATCGATAAATTGAAAAATCGAAACATTAAAAATTGGAAAATCTAAAACCAGAAAAGTCGAAAAATTGAAAAACCGAGAAATATCAAAATATTCAAAAATTGAAGCATCACAAAATCGAACAATTGTAAAATCCAGACACTGAAAGACTCCCAAAATTGAAATGTTGAAAAACTGAGAAATCGAAAACTTGAAAAATCGAGAAATCTAAAAATCGAAAAGTCGAAAAATTTTAAAAATCAAAAAACGAGATGCCAAGATCTCGCATAAAAAAAATTTAAATCGCAAAAGTAATCTCGCCTCTTTTGTTTTGAAAGAATTTCAATAAATCTCGGGAACCTCATTTTTTTTTTTTTTTTTTTTAAGAATTTTGAACGATCTTGGCAACCCTACTTTTTTTAAACAGTTGAAAGTGTCAGGGGTCCCGGTATTTTATTTTTGAAACAGTTTGTTTTTTTCCTGAATCCTGAAAAAAATTCACATAATCCCGGATGCCTTTTTGTTTTGGAAGAATTTAAAAAAATCTGAGGAACCTAATTTTTTTTTTTTTTTTTGAAGAATTTGAAAGGATCTGCGGGACTCTACGTTTTTTTAACAGCTTTTTGGGATTCCTACTTGATATTTAAAAAAAATAAAATAAAGAATATCGGGGGCCCTTGGTGTTTTATTTTTGAAAGAATTGAAAAAACCTTGGAGCCCTCTGGTATTTTGTTCCTGAAAAAATTGACTATAATCTCAAAGGCCCCTTTTGTTTTGAAAGAACTACAAAAATTCTTGGGGAACCCTGAAATTGTGTTTTCAGAAGAATTTGAAAGGAACTTGGGACCGTACTTTTTTTTTAAATACTTGAAAAAATTTCGGAAGTTCCTGTTGAAAGGATGTTGGGGACCCTACGATTTTTTTAAAATCGATGAATTAAAAAATCGAGAAATCGAAAAATTAATCTTGAAAAATCGAAAAATTGAAAATTCAAAAATTTCAAAATGGATAAATCGAAAAAGAAAAAAACTAAAAGATCAAAACTTTGAAAGGTCGCCGAATCCATAATTGGGAAAACCAAAAAATCAATTAATTAACACAGAAATCAAAAAATTGAAAATCCAACACTGATTATATCGAAAAATTGAAAATTAAGGAGTTGAAAACTTGAAAAATCGAGAAATGGAAAAACCGAAAAATCGAAAATACGAAAAATTGGGATATCCGGGAATTATTATACTTATAATTTTGAAAAAATCCACCATTGAGATTAGGGAAAATTGGAAAATCGAAAAACCGAAAAATATCAAAATATTCAAAAAGTGAAACATCGAGAAATCGAAACATCAAAAGATCGAGAAATTAAATTATCCAGAAAGTGAAAAATCCAGAGACTGAAAAATTTCCAAAACTGAAATGTTGAAAACTTGAAAAATCTAGAAATCTAAAGACGGTAAAGTCGAAAAATTTTAAAATTCGAAAAACAAGATGTCAAAAACCGCTTAAAAAAATCAAAAATTGAAAAATCAAAAGTTAAAAAATTGGAAAAATCGAAAAATTCCAAAACTGAAGTGACGAAAAATTGGGAAATCGAAAATTGAAAGATCGAAAGATCGAAAATTGGAAAATCGAAAACCAGAAAAGTCGAAAAATTGAAAAACCCAGAAATATCAAAATATTCAAAAAGTGAAACATTCAGAGATCGAAACATCAAAAAATCGAATAATTGTAAAATTCAAAGACTAAAAGATTCCCAAAATTGAGATGTTGAAAAACTGAGAAATCGAGAAATCTAAAAATTAAAAGTCGAAAAATTTTAAAAATGGAAAAACGAGATGTCAAGATCTCGCATAAAAAATTTAAAAGAGTGTCGGGGATCCCGGTGTTTTATTTTTGAAACATTTGGAAAAATCTGGTGAATCTCTGATGTTCCGTTTTTTTAAAGACTGCAAGAATTTGGAGTGTCCCTGGTATTGTATTCCAGAAAAAAAATAATATTTTCTCGGAGGCCCCTTTTGTTTCAAAAGAATTTCAAAAAACGTGGAGAACTTGAAATTTTGTTTTTGGAAGAATTGAACGGATCTTGGAGGACCTTACGTTTTTTTTTTTAAACACTTGAAAACACTCGGGCGTTCCTACCAAATATATTATTTGGAAAATAAACCGAAAATAATCTCGAGGGTCGCTGTGTTTTATTTTGAAAAAACTGAAAAAACCTCACGAATCCCTGTTCTATTTTTTTAAATTTTGAAGGTCTTTGGTCTTTTATATCTGACAAAATTTGTATCATCTCGGGCGCCCCTTTTGTTTTGAAAGAATTTCAATAAATCTCGGGAACCTCAATTTTTTGATTGAAGGATGTGTCAGGATTTTGGGGACCATACGATTTTTTTTTGACGAAAAGTGTCGGGGATTCGTGCTAATTATCTTTGAAAAATATATATAAATAATATCGAGAGTTTTTGAAAAGATCTAAGATGTTAAGGGCCTGCAATGTTTTGTAAGTGAAAAAAAATAATATAATTTCAGAGGTTCCTTTTGTTTTGAAAAAAGTTCAGAAAATCTCCAGGACCTTGAATTTTTTTAAAAAGAATTAGGAACGATTTTGGGAACCCTACTTTTTTTAAACACTTGAAAAATTGTCGGGGTTCTGGTATTTTATTTTAGAAACAGTTTGTTTTGTTTTGTTAACGTTCGGACAAAATTCTTCATTTTACGGAAATTCTGTAGCCTACTAGTCCTAATTATGTCATAAAATTTTAGTATACATTTAAACTGACATATAACAAGATTTCGCAAGAACTCCCAAAGATTCCAACCGCAACAAATCGTAACAAAATTCCATTTTGCGTAGGTGGCCGCCCACAGCCTCCACCACGAAGTCCGCCAATGGTCCGCCAAAGACAACGAACTCATCGCCGCCGCCAAACGAATGGCCGTGCTCATGGCACGCCTCTCCGAACTCGTACACAACGACGACAAGGGCAGTAAAAGGGAACTGATTGCCACTGCCAAAGCCATAGCTGATGCCAGCGATGACGTCACGCGCATTGCCAAGCAACTGGCTCGAGAGTGCACAGACAAGAGGATCCGCACCAACCTGCTGCAGGTCTGCGAAAGAATCCCCACGATTGCCACCCAACTCAAGATTCTCAGTACCGTCAAAGCCACGATGTTGGGTGCACAAGGTGAGTTGTGTGTGTTAATTGTAATGTCGTGAATCGCTTTGTAAATAACAGCTCTGTTTGTATGCTTACGTAGAGAAGGGAAAGCCCAAGAAAGGTTTGCTAGCACAATTATACAAATTTTACTGTTTTAAAGCGGATTTGGGGAGGTTCTGAGGCGTCTTGCGTGATTAAAGCGGGACACCAAAATTAGGGTTCGGCTTTAAATTCGATTTTTTAGTCCAAATGTTTTTAGTTTGGAGCGGAGCTAAAGCGAGGGATTAAGGCACTCCAGGTACCAGGACAAAGGTTGTGGCTATTTTAACGGACTTTTTCAATTGTGTGCCAAAATCGTAATTTGTGTTAATTTTACAATTTTTAAAATTCTTTATATAGAATAACCGCATTTTTTACACACGTGGACGGTTCAGAACCTTACCATTGTTTAAGTATATTATAGTTGGACAACCTAATACAAATTTTACTTCGCCTAAATAGTGAGCTTTAGGACAAGGAATCCAGGGGGCGTGGGACAAATTTTTCGTCAACGCGCATTTTCACTACAGTGAGCCAACGTATTAGGTTTATTTTACTCTAAATCAGATGGCGCCATCAAACATTAGCAAAGGCAAACACCCTTCACTCTGCTCTTATACGAGGAGTTATCCATAAATCCATAATTAACATTGTTCCGTAAACAGTAATGTGTATAAACATATATGTACAAAATATGAAAATATACTTGACATAAAAAATATGAAGCAACGCGTTGTAACGTGATAAGAAAGAATTGAATTTAAATGAATTTGACGCATATTTTTATTTGACTATATCTGAAGACTGACAGAAACTTTCCAAGGGTTTTTAAACTGGTATAATTGTTTAGTTTTACAAGATTAAAGTAAAACAAGATTTTAATTAAAATTTAGATTCGTGGTGTTACAAAAATATTAACACAAAATGAAAATATATGTTCAAAGTAAATAACAGAATGACATAAACTTTCGGCGTTAACATTACAAATAATTACAAGAGAGAAAAAAACGCATTAAGAACTTAAGAGGCATGTTTGTAATATCGAGTTGTTAAAGGCTGCTTTGAAGACTGTTTGTTTCTATGAAAAACAATTGCTGTTATGGGACATTTTGGTAGATTTTGTTCCAAAAATACGAGGTAACTAATTGTTTCTTGAACTAGTTTCCGTAACTTCTAAAATTTAAAAAGAATACGCCGTTCTGCTGTAATAAAATCTAGAATAAGGTCAAAATCACACTAATATTACATCTGATTTTGTTAACCACAAGAATATAATTTACATTAAAATAAGTTACAGACATTGTTTGAAATGTTAATTATAGTTCGAAAACAAGATAAAATAAATAAATAAATAAATAAATAAATAAAATGTGCAGTTTATAAACTTCAGAATTTTAGTATAAAAATAATCATGTTTGAAGCTTTATTTCGTCTGTTCCATTTTATTGGGTGTATTGGGCCCCTCTCGGGATATAACACCGACATCATTGCACTGACCCAACGTTCTTCAACCGATGTGATGATTTATTACTTCCGTTATGCTGGCCCTACACACAGCGATTTGGTTTTCGGATTTTCGGCTAGATCTGCACAGTTAACTCTTTGCGCACTGCACACTGACATAGAGTATTTTATTCACGCGAGCATCAAAAATATTACGCCGAAAGCACTTCTTCAAGTGTTATTTTTTTTAAGATGTCATATTTGTCAGCGTTTCCAAAATTTTCTTCTTTGCACAGGTTAACTAATTTTTCGTAAATCGCATTTTAAAATTTTTGTTATTGTATTTTTTACTTTTTAATTTTCTAAGGCATGAAAAAATCCCATATAGGTTTCTATGAATTTATTAACGAAATCAACTGATAACTTGCGCGCCATTTTGTGTTAATTAATAGCAATAGTGATTATGATAATTTTATAATTATCATTTTAATGAAATTGTGTTCTTCACTTCGCGAACGACAGCAAACAATTTAAAATTACCGCTAGTCAAGCACCTGAAAATCCATCTCTCCCAAATATGTCTTTCTTGGCACGATTTGTAATCCGAAGTCTCCCTCCACATGCAATTTTTCGTCGCCTGAGAACTTGTTTGATCTACAGAGCAAAGCACACTCAGGCCAATATCGGCTTTAAGCGATTTATCTATAAACCGATAGTCCTTAGAGTTGAAGTGATACACATCCACCACGAAGAACTAACCCATTTCGACCATTGGACTTTACAACGAATAAGTGAACAAAGTTCTTGAACATCTTAACGATTTAATACATAATGTTCCCGAATGACAAAATTTACATTTCAAATTGTATTATCAAATTACACTCTCCAAAATTTGTCACGAACAATGAAATGACGCAATCTCCAAATTTTACAATAGTAAAATTGTAGTTTCGCCCCGTTTACGGTTTATGCATCCGTGTCGAGTTTTCACTTTAGACGTCAAGATTTTTGGAAAAAAAAATCAACATTTTCCAATTTATAATGTTATGTATTTAAATTTTAAAAAGTAGAATAGTCCTGATCTTGTGATTTATACCTAAATACGCTATTGGAATTTTTCGGCTTGTCGATTTCTCGATTTTTCAACTTTAAATGTCTCAATATTTCAATTTTGGGCTTTTCCGATTCCTCCATTCCTTAAATTTTCTATTTCTCGATTTTTTTATTTTTCGATTTCTCAATCTTACGATGTTTCAATGATACGATTTCTCAATTTTTGTCCTCTTCAATTTTACGGTTTTTAAATATTTCGATTTTTCAATTTTTCAAATTTTCACGTTTCTAAATTTTCAGTTTGCCGATTTCTAAAGTATTTTTTTTATTTGTCCATTTCTGGATTTCCTAAAGTTTCGATTTTTCACAACTTCAATTCCTCAATTTTTCGATTTTTTAAGATTACGATTTTTCAATTTTGCTTTTTTAGATTTTCGATTTCTCAATTTTCCAATTTTTTAATTTCTCAATTTTTTGAATATTTCTTTCAGTTATGAAATTTTTCAATATTTCTATTTTTCGACTTTTCGATTTTTTAATTGATGGATTTTTTTTGATTTCTCGCTTTTTTCCTTTTTGGATTTTCAATTTATTGTAAACTTTTCAATTCTGGGACTGTTTAATGTTTCGATTTCTCAATTTTTAAACTTTTCGATGTTTTAATATTTCATTTTTTAAAATTCTAGGTTTTTCGATATCTCGAGTTTTCAGTTCTTCTATATTTCAATTTTTCATTTTTCGATTTTTTGAATTTTAATTTTTGATTTTCCAGTTTTTCTTTTTTAAAATTTTTCGATTATTCAATTTTTTAATTTCTCAATTTATCGAATTCAGATGTTTCGTTGTTTTGATTGTTCAATTTTTCAATTTTTAACTTTCCTTTTCGGCTTCCGACTCCTCAATTTCTCGATCCTCCGATTTTTCGATTTCTCGAAGTCTCAGTTTTTGAATTTTTCGATGTTTCGATTTTTGGATTTCTCGGTTTTTCGATTTTTTTCTTTTGAGCTTTTCAATTTCTGGATTTTCCAATTTTTCAACGTCCCAATTTTTCAATTTTTCAAATTGAATTGGATCTCTCGATTCTTCAATTTTGCGATTTTTTGACTTTTCAGTTCTTCAGTATTTAAATTTTTGAAATTTTCAAATTTTTGCGTTAAATTTTCAGTTTTCTGATTTCTCAATTAATCTATTTTTGATTTTCCCACTTCTCAAAGTTTCGATTTTTCAGTTCTCAATTCTTCGATTTTTCGACTTCGCTTTATTGGTTTGTCGATTTCTCAATTTTTGGATATTTCTTTCAGTTTTGATATTTTTCAATACTTCGATTCTTTCATTTTTCGACTTCTAGATTTTTCTATTTTTTATTTTTGGATTTTCAGTTTTTTGTTTTTTATTTCAATTTCTCAATTTTTCAACTTTTTCATATTTTAATTTTTAAATTTCCAGATTTTTCAGTTTCTCGAGTTTCCAGTTCTATATTTTAATTTTTTAAATTTACGAATGTTTAAATTTTTTGAGATCTCAATTCATTGAGATTCGGATGTTTCGATGTTTTGATTATTCAATCTCGCTTTATGAATTTTTCCATATTTAAGTTTTCGATTTTTCGATTTTGGCCTACTTCGGTTTCTCAATTTTTTGATTTTTCGACTTCTCGATTTTTCGACTCCTCGTTTTTTTTTGTCTTTTGATTTTTCGATTTCTCGATGTCTCAATTTTTGAATTTTACAATGTTTCGATTTTTCGATTTGTTGGTTTTTCGATTTTTTGCTTTTCGGTTTCTCGATTTTTCGATGTTTCGATTTTTGATTTATCCGATTTTTCAATTGTCCAATATTTAAATTCTCGACTTCTCGATTCGTTGATTTTTCAGTTTTTCGATTATTAAATTTTAGATTTTTATTTTTATTTTTGATTTTTTGCTGTTTGGATTTCTCCATTTTTCAGTTTTAGGATATTTTAACTTTTCAGTGTTTTAAATTTTTGATTTTTCGATTTTTTAGTTCTTCAATATTTTTTTATTTTTCAAATTTTGACGTTTCTGAATTTTTAGTTTTCGGATTTCTCAATTAATCTATTTTTTTATGTTCCCATTTCTCCACTTCCTAAAGTTTCGATTTTTCAGTTCTTCAATTTTTCGATTATTCAGGTTTTTGATTTTTCAATTTTTTAAGTTTGCGATTTTTAGACTCTGCTTTTTTGGCTTTTCTGTTTCTCAATTTTTTAATTTCCTAATTTTTTTGATATTTCGTTCAATTTTGTGATTTTTCAGTTTTTCGATTTCTCAATTTTAACTTTTCGATTTTTAAATTATTAACTTTTTTCGATTTTTTGAATTTTCAGTTCTTCTATATTTCAATTTTTCAATTTTCGGAATTTTTAAATTTTCGATTGTCCAATTTTTTTTTATTTTTCGATTTTCCAATTTTTCGATGTTTCGATTTTTGAATTAACCGATTGTTCAATTTCTCGATTTTTAAATTTTAGATTTTCCAATTTTAATTTTTTTGATTTTTTTATGTTTCGATTTCTCGATTTTACAATTTTCCCATATTTGAATTTTTCAGTGTTTTAAATTTTCGATTTCGAGGATTTACTGTGTTACAGTAGTCATCAGTCATTACTCATCAAGAACGATTATTGCTGTGCGTTAAAATGCCTACATACTGATAAGCACGTACATACAAGACACATTTAAGGCTGTTTTAGTATAATTTTTGCAATTTTAAATTTATTTCTTGATGTCTAAATCGTATATATTTAAATGGTGATGAATATTTTGTGATACAATATTAGGATAAAATGCATTTTAGTTTCAAAAATAATATGTATTTAATGATTTGACTACTGTTAATAAAAAAAATACGTAAGAAGATGTTCATATTGAATTAATTTGGTGTTCATAGTTTGATGATAATCCATAGTTATTCTGGAGGCAAATTAATTGACTTGTTACTTATTAATTAAAGTAGTCGTCGTTTAATTTCGTATACCTTTAAAGTGGACGAAGGGACGCATATTTGTTAGCCATGCAGTTCATGGATAATAGGTATACCGCGATAATATTAAATTTTTGTTACCTTAACCTTGAAACAGGTATGCACTACATATAGATATATTACAGTAAAGTCTTCAACACGTACGTTTGCTTATTTTGTGACTGCTCCCCGTACAACGTACTGATTAATACGTCCGTTTACTACCTTATCGACATCACGTGCTTACGGACTATTTTTACCCCCTTTCGTAAGGTACCGCCACTTCATAGTGAAGCGAGTGAGATGTAAAATATATATTCATTCTTTTCTACATGGGAAAGTGATTGTCCGTATAGGTTGTCCAACTATAATATACTTAAACAATGGCCTTACCTAGCGAGCTCCTTGGAGTGTTTTACTTAACGTTTGTGTGTCTTTAGGGTCCGAGGAAGACCGCGAAGCCACAGAAATGCTGGAAGGCAACGCCCAGAATCTCATGCAGAGCGTGAAGGAGACGGTCCGAGCCGCCGAGAGCGCAAGCGTCAAGATCCACGCGCAGACGCACGGCAAGCTTAGGTGGGTACGAAGACAGCCGTGGTATGCCTACGCTTAAAAAAATAATAATCTCTTTGGTTGTTTAATTATTGTCGATCGATACTGTGTTCAGTTTTGTTAAGTTAACACGTCGATAACAAACGAGGCGGTTGCGACGCAAGGTCGCGATCGTCACTAATTAATCCTCTATAGTTATTAGGAAAACTTGCCTTAGTGGAATATGATAGTTATTTTTCTATGCTTTACCGAGTAAGGAGATATATATGGAGAGTATTTATATAAAGTGCAATAGTGCCAAATTTTATTTTTAAGTATATGTCTATAGCCATGATTGTTATTATTTGAGAGTACAATCCTATCTGAAGCAATACCCATGGCTTGAACTTGTTAAAGTGCTTAAATATTTAAAAGGTTGCTTTCAATGTTTTTATTTCTAATATTATTAATTTTTTTAACTATTTTATTTGTATTTGGAATGAATTTTATGTAACGGATTAATAAATTTGTTTATATTTAAGGTGGGTGAGAGTTTCGTCGCCCTTTTACACGTTCCTTCCTTCTCCTTTAAGTCTCCATGATATTAAAAATTTCGTGACAGGATAGTTTCAACAGGATGGTGCTACTGCTCATGCAACTACATATTTATTATGACTATTTTACCATAAACATCATCTTTTTCGACAAAATGGTAAGAGGCATTTGTACAAACAGAGTCAGAACTATTGACACCAAAAAGGAAAGCACTATTGTGGTCAGTATATCACAACACTGAAATCATACAGTTAACTAACACAGTTTTACTACAGAGCGACTCACCATAATGTAAGCGGAGGTGTATGAAGGCTGCATCTTTAAACCAGCACTTAACATGGCAATTGTATAGTGTACAACGTAAGCATTGTAAGATAAATTAGCCATGAGCTGGTAACGACGATTTTCAAACAATTTTTTAAAAATACCTGAAATCGAAATTATAACATATTATTACGCGAAAAAATTAAAGAAATACAAACCTCCATGCCCTTGAGACATACCAAAGATCGTAGATGCCACACCGATAGAGAATATTGTTTGGTATAAACAATATTGCAAACAATTTATTGTTTGTATAGTAGTCGCTCATCGAGTAAAAAATATAAATCAGTACCGAAAGTGGAAAAAAAGAAAGACAGATTATCCACGCAGCCAGTACGTGAGACTAAAAATACAATAATCGGAAAAAAGTGTCATTCCATATGAAAAAACCAAATTTGAACAAAAATTATGGTTTTTGATGTTTATGAAAAAAATTTATGATTTCTCAGGTAACCAGTGTGCCATTTTTAAATTCCTATTATGATTGCTTGAGGCATCTCTCAATTCTTCGAGTTTTCAACTTTCATTTTTTCAATTTTCCAAATTTTGACTTTCAATATTTAAATTTTTCCATTCTTCGATTCTTTAAATTTTCATTTTTTTTCAAATTTTCGATTTGCAGTTTTTCGTTTCGGTTTTTTGTTTGCTGTATTTTTACAATTTTTCGGTTTTATAATTTGTTTTTCAGTATTTTCCCTCTTTTTTGATTTTTAGACTTCTAATTGTACGATTTTTCAGCTTTTCGAATCCAAAAAATTACAAAATGTTAAACTGAAAAATAAAAAATGAAAAAGCGAAAAGAAAAAGTGAAAAATTGAAGAAACGAGAAACTAAAAAATCGAAAAAAAGAAATATTGTAAACTATACTTAATATGATCAAATTTAGAGTGCCCCAACATCTGACTAGGATTAAGTCTCTATTTTATATTGATTTTGCCGCAACTAATTATGTTAAAGCTTCACCTTTACATGAAATTTTGAATGTTTCTAACTTGTATTACAATGAAATTGATTTCTTTTGTTATGCTTCATTCAACTCTTTTAAACATAAATTACGAATTCTTCTTCTTATGTAGGTAATTATAGGTGTGTGTATTTTTTACTCTATGTATCCTCCTTCTTTGTAAATCCATGTACTTAAAGCTATTTTGGCGTTGAAATAAAGTATTATTATTATAAAGAAATCGGAAAATCGTGACATCCAAAAATTTCAAAATTGAAAAATTTAAAAATGGAAAACGGAGGAACTGAAAAATCAAAGATTGAAAATTTGAAAAATTGAATAAACTAGAAATTGTGATAAATAAATAATAAATAAATAAATAAAGTTTATTGCCCAACAGAACTACACATTCCAGTTACAGGACAATTATAAAGAGTATAAAAACAATGACAACAATTCAGAATCAAAGAAAATAACAAATTAATAAATTAAATGCATAAATAATCAAAGATCTCAATATAATGAAACATAAGAACAGTAACTTAACTTAAATAAAATTAAAATAGAAATAAATGAATGAATGAATAAATTAAAGCCGAAATAAATACCTACATTTATCTGCAATATCAAAAATCAAACACACAATCTGTAAATCTAGGCATATACATCAAGAAATAAATAACTTAAATTAAAATACAACAGTATGAAAACCATATCTGAAAGTAAAGTGTAAACTACTTAAGCTTAATTCTAACAGTGTCTTTTATAGACTTAAGGCTAGTGTTAAAAATGTCAAAATCAGAATTCATTTCTATTTCTTTTAAAAAATAGCTTATTAGATATATCGGTGCTTTTCTCCCAAAATTAGTTCTAGCAATGCTAGTGTATAATGTTACAGAATGCCTGCTGCTAGTTCTAGGTACCAGAAAGGACAAAGAATTAGTTAAGGCCCTGCAATCAATTTGATTATTTAATAATTTATATAAAAAAACGATAACGCCAGTAACACGTCTACAAAATAATGAACTCATATCAAATTTTTCTAGTAGAGCTGTTTGCGGATAATTTCTCGTTGGCCATGTTTTCTGTTCCTTAAAATAGAGGTACTTTAAAAATCTGCGCTGTATGTTCTCAAGGCATACTACTTGATAGTTGTAATAAGGAAACCAAGCTAACGCACAGTATTCTAATTTAGAGCGCACCAAAGCATAGAACAAAGTTTTCAAAGCTTGAATGCTAGTGAAATCTTTGCAGTTTCTAATAAGGAACCCTAGTGATCTTTTAGCTTGTGAAGTAATGCTCTCCACATGTTCTGCAAAACTGAACTTATTATCATACAAAACACCTAAATCCAAAATGGAAGAGCATTTCTGTAAGCTGTGATGATTGATTTTGTAATCAAACTCGCATACATTAAGCTTGTGTGTGAACGAAATAATAAAGGATTTATTCTCATTTAAAGGTAAAAAGTTGAGCAATGACCAAGAAACCAAATTATTTATGTCTTTTTGAAGAAGCAAGGAGTCACTATTACCACTAATTTCACGGTATATTTTAATATCATCTGCGAAAATGAGAACTTTTGAGTAGCGAATACAATCTAGCACATCGTTAATAAATAATGTGAATAGCAAAGGACCAAGAGTGGAGCCCTGCGGCACTCCAGCAGCTGTGATGTAACTGTTGGACTTAAATCCATTTACTACCACAAAATTGTTGCGCTTAGTCAAATAAGATTCAAAAAGATTTGTGAGAGAATTAGAGAAACCAATATTCGACAGCTTTCTTAATAAGAGCTGGTGGTTGACTCTGTCAAAGGCCTTTGAAAAATCACCATACATCACGTCCAATTGACCTCTGTTATCCAAAGCCTGAGATATATCTTGGGAATAGCAAGTTAAATTCGTTAAAGTGGATCTGCCCATGGTAAACCCATGTTGGCCCTCATTTACTAACAACTTAGTTTGGAAGGAGATCTGATTAAAAAGAATACGTTCAAATATTTTTGAAAAATTGCACAGCAACGAAATAGGTCTATAATTGCTCACTGCTGAAACATCACCACTCTTGAAAATGGGCACAATCTTGGCGGTTTTCCACTTATCCGGAAAGCATGAAGTTTTTAAAATTATATTAAAGATATGCATTAGGGGCTTAACGAAAACATTAGAACAGTCTTTAACCAGAAAACTGGGAACTTGATCATCTCCAGCAACTTGACTATCCTTAAGTAATTTTATTGCCCTGCTTACATCATCTTCAGAAATAACCACATTAATGCAACTATTACTAATACCTGTAAGCTGACTTGAATGAGCAAAACTATTCAATGAAGGATTATGAAAAGACGAAGAAAAGAATTTAGCAAAGCAATTAACAATATCAGCTGGGTTATCATGAAAATTATGGTTAAGGTGAACTTTATTGGGAATATTGGAGCGCCCCTTTTTTTCTTTGATATACGACCAGAAGTATTTAGGATCACGCAGTAAAGCATGCTGAACATTTTTAATGTAGTTATTAAAATCCCGACGCAAGAGTTGTTTAACAATACGACGTAAAGAACTGAAGTGATTTCGAAGATGACAGGAAGGCTTTCGTTTGATTTCTCTAAACACTTTATGCTTCAGAATGATTTGTTGTCTAAGTTCAGTAGTATACCAACTCGGGAAACTGAATTTGGAACATTTAAACAATGGTACATGTTTATCAAACAATGAGTACAATATTCTGTATAACGTCTCACAGGCACTATTCACATTAGTGGACTCATACAGGACATCCCAATTAGTGGTTAATAGACCATTATATAAAGAAACATAGTCCGCCTTTTTAAAGTTATAAGTTTTTACATCTGTACACATAGACAAATTTTCGTAGGTACCAGTTTTTAAAACCAAATTAATATTAAGCGCAGGATGGTGTCGATCTTCTGGCACAATAGGACAGGTGTCCTGTTCAACCAAACATTTGCCGTAATTGGTAAAAACTAAGTCCAGTAATACCTTATTACAGTTACGAATATTGTTATACTGTGTAAGGTTCAAAAAAGACATCATATTAAATACTAAATTAGATTTTGAATCCTTTACATTATTCGAAAAAGTAGGAGCATTGAAGTCACCAATTATAAGAATATTATCTAATTCAACAGCAATATTTTCAAAACATTCTAAAAATAATTCATATTCTTGAATGGACACATCCGGAGGAATATATATCACAAAAATAAATAAAGAACTACGTCCACAACATAACTTACAAGCAACTATATCAATAAGATGAAAAGCGTCGAAAACTGATAAATCAACACTCGACACAGGAAATTTGTCACTAACTGCTAAGACCACCCCTCCACCTCTTTGCCGATTACTACATGTAAAATTACGATCGGCACGAAACACACAATAACTAGATGGCATAAATTCACAATTACTGATTGATGAGTCAAGCCATGACTCAGTTAAACAAATGACATCATAATCCGAAACATTTAAACAAAAAAATACCTCATTAACTCTCGACCTAATGCTGCGAACATTTTGGTAATAAATAGGTAGATAATCATTACCACAACTGTTGGGCCGGTTTAGTTTAAAGTAACATTCGTCGCTCTCTTCATGATGGAGTTTCTTCAAATTAACTCCGTCCCTGCATTTTTTCCTAAAAAATTCTTCTTTGGAAAATTAAACCGTCTTACACACACACCTTGTGGCCAAAAATCTTCACGTAATAAATTGTCCTTCAGACTAAAGTTTACACCAACTTTAAAGGCATCATATGTTCCCTGCAGCTTAAGATTTTCGACTATGACCTCATCAGTGGACAACTTTTTGGTTATATAAGCTTTGACACTACTAGTCTCAATGTTTTTAACAACTTTTCCGACGTAGAACCATGCTCTTTTAACGTAAGTAGAACGAAATTCACCATCATCTTCTTGCTTCGAAGTTCCAGTTATAGTGGGTACTTGTTTTCTACGATTGCTTCGATTTCTTCTTAGTTCCATCCACGGATTTTCCACTTTGTCATGAAAATTTATTTCGTCGTCCCTACTCACACGAAATTCATCTGTTTGTTTATTGGTAACAGTAGTTGACTCCTTTTTTTGAATTTTCTTTCCACGATTTCTTGCGCTGTTCTTGTTATCGTTATCGGTGCTTCTCTCACCTTCAGTGAAAGGTTTATTCAAGTTCACATCAACTTTATCACGAAAATTCGGAAAATGTAATGACTGACTTGGCTTATCAATTGATTGTGTAACGACTGACGACCATTTAGGAACTGTAGATTTTATTTCTTGAGAAGAAAAGAGCTTTGGAGCAAGACTGGGGTTACTTTGTGTCATTAATTTAATCAAGTCCACATTAGTTTCTTTTAAATCTCGAACTTCCATACGCAACAACTCAATTTCATGCATTAAGGGCCGAGTTACCTTTTGGATAATCTTTTCAATATCTTCATGGGAAAATTCAAATATTTGCGACTTGTTACTTGCATTATCCACACTTTCACCATTATCGCAACAGATTATTTGCGCATCACCTAGGTACTGCACATTTTTTAATAATTTCACACAGCTGGGATGACTGAGCGAATTGCACTTAACACATTTAAGCCCTGTCACGGGTATAATTTTACATTTCTTACACGCATCCCCAGAGGGATTGTTGGAAACGTCCGCACTCTCCGGACGCATAGCGCAGAAATGTGGAAAAGTTTGTAAAAGGGTGTGCAGACTGTCAAGCGCGGAAGGGCGAACAACATAAGAAACCAGCCGGACTACTAAAACCTATTCAAGTGGGGTTGCCATTTGATAGAGTAGCCATAGATATCTTGGGACCATTCCCAAAGAGCAAGAGAGGAAATGTAGTCATAGTTGTAGCCACAGATTATGCAACAAGATGGGCTGAGACTCGGGCGATGGCTAATGCTAAAGCAGAATCAGTGGCCAAGTTTATTTTGGAACAGATACTTACGAGACATGGAAGCCCAAGATACCTTTTGAGTGATAGGGGAACCAACTTTCGGTCGCAAGTGGTACAAGAACTGTTGAAATTGATGGGTGTTTATCACACTTTTACAACAGCTAACCATCCACAGTGTAACGGACTGACAGAGAGGTTCAACAAAACACTCGCCGACATGCTCGCCGTTTTCACAAGCACCAGCCAGAAAGACTGGTGCCAGTATTTAACTCACGTAACGTTCGCCTACAATACAGCTCGTCAAGATACCACTCAGTTTTCTCCATTCATGCTTGTCTATGCAAGAGAAGCAGTCTTACCTACGCAGGCAAATCTTCTGCAGGAACCGCTGTCAAGCTACGTGTTTGATATTAGAGAAAAGGCATTGGCCGTTAGGAACTGGGCTGTCGAAAATATTTATAAAAAACAAAATATTGATAAAGAAAGATTCGACGAAAAACATAGGCACGTTGAGTTCATGCCTGGGGAAAAAATAAAAATATTTACTCCTATTAGAAAAGTGGGAAAGAGTGAAAAATTATTATTAAAATATTTCGGTCCATATACGGTGATAAGAAAAATGGGGGATGTGGATTACGAGATTAGAAAAGGCTCGAAAAAAGAAGTTGTACATGTAAGTCGACTTTTAAAATATAATGATCCATGGAGTCCACAGGTGAGTAGCGACAAATAAACAATGTTTTCATTGATCTACTTTTGCATCCATTATAATGAGATAATTTTGTCGAACTATATAAAAGCGTTGGGTGTTAGTTTTTATTTTAAATGTATGCTTTGTTAACGGGGGTTTACGAGAACTTTTCAAACGTGTGAGCCTGCGTGTCGGAAAAAGACAAACAAATAGTACAATTTTTAAGTTAAGGTAAAACGAATTCAAAATAAATGTATTAACATGGCTTTCCTACAGGCTGTTCGCTATCTTACTAATCAGTCAAAATTCTTGCGTTGGAGGACAAATAGAAGTGTCGGCAGGAGCATTCTGGAGGCCCCTTGTGGAGACTTTGAATTACGAGGCAACCATACCAATAAAGTATACAATGGCGTGGTTCAAACCACAAACAAACAGTATGGGCACATCAAAACAATGTAGTGGCGATCACAATTGCGAGCTGGCGACCGCTATGCACCAGTTAATGGAAGCGGTTGACGGCGAGCTGGAACCACAAGAGTCGGAAGAAGGATGGCAGCTTTTTGAAGATCAACAGCACAGAGAAAAACGCAGCCTGGATTTTCTAGGAGAGGGACTGGCTTGGTGTTGCGGCGTTGCAACACAACACAAACTAGACTCGCTGCACATGGAAGAAAGGGCTTTACAGAAAAAACTTCGACAATTGGAGAGGAGCCTATCTGAAAATATCAAAACGCTAAGTCAAAATTCTGTGGAATTTAAAAAATATACAGATCAGGTCGGGGAGGCTTTTAAATCCACGGAGAGGAGGATTAAAGAAATGGAAAAAGCCATCACAAATTTTAGGAACAAGACGAGTGAATGGGAAGGATTTTTCGGTACTTTAATAGAAAATCAATTTCAGAATACTAGACGTATCGTAACAATGTGGCGCGCGTTGGAACAAAGGGACGTAAAACTGTCATGTCGACAACACCAAATACCAGAAAAGGTGTTGCGGCCCCAACTTTTTCAAGCGAACTTAATGGAACTTCGAAAGGAATTAATCAAAGCAGGTCACGATTTAGCTATTGCTGTCACGGATATACACAGGTATTATCAGTTACCAATAACAGATTGTGTAATTTCAGGAAATAACATAACACTGGTAGTACGAGTGCCCATCGTACAACAGGGCATTAGGTGGAGTTTGTTTGAGCTCATAACTGCACCCTTCAGTTGGTACAATCAGAGTTGCAGAATAGAGTACAGCACCTTGTTTTTGGCGGTGGCAGAAGCTCCCTACACTAGACACCGGAGGCACAATTTGTACCGACAAATTTCTGGTTTGGGGTTGCATCAGTGCAGGCCGCACTCCGACAAGCTGTGCTTTCTTCCTCGATTCGGAGAGGATAAACTTCATGGGCCTACGTGTGCACGAAAATTATATGAAGGGGCGACAGTGGAGGAATTAAGTTATCACTGCCCCATGAAATGTCACGCATCGACATCGCTTACCATCACAGAAGTCGAGGAGGATTTATTTATAATAACAAATTTAAAGGTAGGCGCTTATATAAGTTGTCCCAGCAGTAATAAAACCCTAACTGAATTCGGAAGCTTATTGGGCGCGTTAAAAATAAAACTTCACTGCCAGTGTGCACTTGTTTACCTGCATGATGTAATAATACCTAGACGTTTTCCCTGCTTAGATACTATCCCTCGCATCCACGTAAATCACATAATTCCAGCAGCGTGGTCGAATCTAAAATCTTTCATTCTTAACCCCATTCATACCCACTCGTTACCATCATATAACAACTTTTTGGAATGTATTAATCCAAATTGGTCATTGACTATTCCGCATTTAAATTTAACCTCCCCGAATAAACTTCTCCAAAATTTTGTCGCAAATATTCCAGAATCACCACAAATTTTTTCTTTTGCGGACAGTTATGGTGTACATACATCCGCTACTTTAGTTGTTTGGAATTTAATCTTAACTGTTTTATTAATATATATATTTTGGAAATCCAACCACCCAGCGATAGCCTCCCCCAACCAAACATGTAACCCTACCACCTCCCTTCTACTACAAGGGGGGGAAGCCGTTAGGATAACTGTAGATGACGCGTCGTAAATTATATATATTATCACCTGTGGATCTTGTCTTAATATTTGGACTCTCGATTCAAAAGATCGTTAGACAAATGCTGAGGCAATATCTGTGCAGGTCGATTGAAGCCTGCAGGCATATATGTATTACCCATATATAGGTTATATGTAGATAATAAGTAGTTGTCCACTGTTTTATATTTTAGATCGGAGATTGAACATAGATTTAGAAAGTTATTTAGATATTGTGTACTGGCTTCGCTTTATCTATTTTGTAGGAGTATAAGGTAATTCTAATGAATGAACTTTTTTTTTTATGTTCTGGAACCGGGTCTGGCAACGGGAGACACCTACCATACATAAGGCGTTCTTGCTCGAGACAGAACCAGCATGGGGGGAAAAAAAAAAAAGGCCCTGACATCACTCTCGCATACGACGCTCTCGTTCGAGAACCAAGCTTCTACGACGACGAGTTCTCCTTAAAGAAGACTCCAGTTAACAAGACTGGACTCATAGTGGTTGAGTTTTGCCAAAAAGGAAATGGTGGTGAACGGGACTTCGGCCAGTAAGCAGGGACGTTAAAATAGCGCTCATCAACTGCTGCAATTAGTAAGAGAGTGCCGCTTGTCGCGAGAGATTTTAAAATAGTTGCTTCAAAAGATAAATACCTTAAATCAATTTTTGTCTTATTCAAGTGTGTAAAATGTTGGTAGGGTCTTCCTGGGTATGTCGACCAGAAGAATGTAATTTTGTATCGTTGAGTATCTTTTTTATTGTAGTAAAGTAGGAGTGAAGTCTAATATGATTGTATATTTTATAGGGTTGTGTTTGCAAAATGGATAATTTGTGGCTATGTACGTTGTATGCATTGTATTAGTTAAGAGATATCTGTTTGTAAAACACTGGAGGTCCAGTGTTCCTTAAGGGGGGAGATGTGTCACGGAACTGCTAGTTGCCCTAGTTATGTAAAGATTGCCTCATGCCATGCTTGTGGGATGTCAGCAAAAACCTCTTTTTGCTGGCATTACGGAAGCTTAGGTGGGGTGAGTGCGGACTGACGAAAGGGGCAGTCGGTACTAACTAGGGACAGGGAGAAGGTAAAGTGAGAGAAGTGAAGTGACGCACCGTGCCCCCTAAGGATGGAATTTGTAATGTAAGTTGAAATATATTTAGTTTATAAATGTATTTGGGATTTTTATTCTTAACGTCGGATCGGGTAATTATCCTTAGCTCTACCAATCTCTCCCCCGACCCGGTCGTGACATATGGTGATATAAAACATCGAGAAAATGAAAATTAAAAAATCGGGAAAATTTTTATTTCTTCAAATTTTCGATTTGCAATTTTTCCTTTCGGTTTTTTATTTTCTTTGCTCTCACAATTTTTCAAGTTCTTAATGTTCCGATTTTACATTTTTTAATTTTTTCAATTTCAACGTTTTAAATTTTCCTCCCGTGAAATTTTTCATTTTTAATAATAGTAATTTTTATATTTTTCAGTTTTTCAATTTTATAACTTTGGATGTTTCAATTTTTAATTTTTCAATTTTTCGTTCCCGTCTTTTATTTTTCCAATTTTTTAAAAGTATTATTATTATTATTTTTCAAATAAAAAAAAATGGAAAAATTGTAAAATTGTTAAACTAAAAAATGAAAGCTCAAAAATCGAGAAATTTTAAAATAGAAAAAAAGCAAAATAAAAACAATTGTAAATTAACGAAATTGGAAAAACAGGAAATTGAAAAACTGCAGAACTGAAAAATTGAATAAACAAAAACTCGTGATATAAAAATCGAGAAAAGGAAAATAAAAAAATCGGAAAAACAAAAATAAACAATTATTTGAAAAAAATTTTCAAATGTTCAAGTTACAATTTTTCGTTTAGGCTTTTTATTTTTTTATTTTCACAATTCTTCGTTTCTTCAATTTTTCAATTTGAATTTTTTAATTTTTCATTTATTTTTTTTGGCTTTATTTTACGATATGTAACTCTTCGAATTTTCATTTTTATATTTTTCAATTTTTCCATTTTATAACTTTGGATGTTTCAGTTTTTCAATTTGCATTTTCAGGAGTTTTCAATTTTTCTCTTTTGATGTGAAAATTTTCAATTTTTGAGTTGCAATTTTTCGAGTCTTCATTTTGAAATGTAATAATAATTGTAATTTAAAAAAATATTCGATTTTTCAAAATTTTTATTTTTAATTTTTGAATTTCCCGATATTTAATTTTTCAGTCTTTTAATGTTATAATTTTTCGACTTCGTTTTTTCTTCTTGCCAGTTTTTGGATTCATTGTTTTTTTTTTTTTTTCAAGTTCTACGATTTTTAGGTTTCCAGTGTTTCAAATTTTTTGTACTTAAGTTCTTGGAGTTGCGATTTTTCGATTGTTCAGTTTTTTTTGATTTGTCAATTTTTCGATTTTTGAATTTTTCGAATCAAAAAATGGAAAAATTGCAAAATTGTAAGTCGGAAGATCAAAAATCGGGAAACTTTAAAATCGAAAAAGAACAAGATCGAAAAAAATATTGAAAATTAAATAAAGTCGAAAATCGGGAAATTGAAAAACTGCAGAATTGAATAATTGAAAAAACGAAAAATCGTGATATAAAAATCGAGAAAATGAAAATTAAAAACTAAAGGAAATGAAAAATAAAAAACAAGAATTTGAAAAATTTCATCAAATTTTTGATTTACAGTTTTTTATTTTTCTTATTTTTTCAATTTTTGGTTTTCCAAAATTCGGATTTTATAATTTTTCTTTTTTCAAGGTAAAATTTTTCAATTTTATAACTTCGGATGTTTCAGTTTTTAGATTTTGCAGTTTTTCAATATGCAGTTCCACAAGTTTTCAATTTTTAATTTCTCACTTTTTCGTTACCGTTTTTCATTTCTCTTATTTTTTCATTTTTTGGATAATTCAATGTTTTGAAGTGCAATTTCTCAATTTTTTCTTTTTTCTTTTTCGTAATTTTCATTTTTTATTTTTTTTTATTTTTTAGTTTTGCGATTTTTAATTTTTAGACTTTAATTGTACGATTTTTCAATTTTTCGAATCAAAAAAATGGAAACAATGCAAAATTGTAAAACTGAAAAATCGGAAGATCAAAAATCGAGAAACTATAAAATCTAAAAAGAGCAATATCGAAAAAAAATATTGGAAATTAAATAAATTGGAAAATCGGGAAATTCAGAAACTGCAGAATTGAAAAACTGAATAAACGAAAAGTTATAAAATCGGAAGAAACATTGAAAAAATAGACGAAATGAAAAAACCAAAAATCGTGATATAAAAATCGAGAAAATGAGAATTGAATAATAGAAAAAGTGAATAATAAAAACAAGAATTTGAAAAATTCGTTAAAATTTTCGATTTACAATTTTCCGTTTAGGTTTTTTATTTTCTTTATTTTCACATTTTCGATTTTTTAATGTTCCGATTTTATAATTTGTTTTTTCAATTTTAACTTTTTAAATTATTCGTTTCTTCAATTTTTTGATTTGCAATGTTGTAATTTTTAATTTTTTTCGTTCTTTTATTTTTACGATATGTAAATCTTCGAGTTCCCGTTTTTAAATTTTTCAGTTTTTCGATTTTATAACTTTGGATTTATCAATTTTTGGTTTCTTTAATTTTTCGATTTGCAATTTTTCCTTTCCGTTATTTAATTCTCGTATTTTTTCAATTTTCCAGTTTTTGAATTTTTCTTTTTTCTCTATGAAATTTTTCTATTTTCCATTTTTTCTTTTTCCCAATTTTCCGTTTTTCAGTTTTTTGCTTTTTCAATTTTTTCCGATTTTTTAGTTTTTCGATTTTTAATTTTTAGACTTTTAATTGTATGGTTTTTCAACTTTTCGAATCAAAAAAATGGAAACATTGCAAAATTGTAAAACTGAAAAACCAAAAATGAAAAAGCGAATAGAAAATGTAAAAAACTGAAGAAACGAAAAACTGAAAAATCGTAAGATTAAAAATCGAAGAACTCTAAAGTTTAAAACTTGGAAAACCGAGGAACTGAAAAATCAAAGATTTGAATATTTCAAGTAACGAAAAATTACAAAATCGAAAGAAACATTGAAAAAATAGAAGAAATGAAAAAACGAAAAATTGTGATATAAAAATCAAGAATATGAAAATTAAAAAGTCGGGAAATTGAAAAATAAAAATGAAAGATTTTGAATAACTTCAATTTTTCATTTCTTCAAATTTTCAATTTGCAGTTTTTCGTTTCAGTTTTTTATTTTTTCTTTTGTTTTTACAATTTTTTAATGTTCCTATTTTATTATTTTTTGGTTTTTCAATTTAAACTTTTCATTTGTTTTTTGGTTTTTCTATTTTACGATATGGCAACTCTTCAAAGTTTCATTTTTAATAGTAATAATTTTATATTTTTCAATTTTTCGATTTTATAACTTTGGGTGTTTCAATTTTTCGTTTCCGTTTATTTTTATTTTTTTAATTTTTTGGTTTTTCAAAATTCTGATTTTCTAATTTTTCTTCTTTCAATGTAAAATTTTTCAATTTTTAGATAATTCAATGTTTCGAAGTGCAATTTTTTAATTTTTAGACTTAATCGTACGATTGTTTAATTTTTCAAATCAAAAAAATTGCAAAATTGCAAAATTATAAAACTGAAAAATCGGAAGATTAATCAAAATCGAGAAACTTTAAGATCGAAAAAGAGCAACATCGAAAAAAATATTAGAAATTAAAGAAACTGGAAAATCGGGAAATTCAAAAACTCCAGAATTGAAAAATTGAGGAAACGAAAAGTTATAAAATCGGAAGACACAATGAAAAAATACACGAAATGAAAAAACGAAAAATCGTGATATAAAAATCGAGAAAATGAAAATTGCATAGTCCAAAAAATGAAAAATAAAAGTTCGTTAAAATTTTCGATTTACAATTTTACGTTTAGGTTTTTTTATTTTCTTTATTTTCACATTTTCGATTTTTTAATGTTCCAATTTTATAATTTGTTTCTTAAATTTTTTGATTTGCAATGTTTTAATTTTTAATTTTTTTGGTTCTTCTATTTTTACGATATGTAACTTCCGAGTTCCCATTGTAAAATTTTTCAGTTTTTGGATTTTATAGTTTTTCATTTCTTTAATTGTTCGATTTGAAATTTCTCTTAGTTTTTCAATTTTTCAACTTTTCATTTTTTTGTGTTTCTTCAATTTTACGATATGCAATTTTTCGGTGACCTGATTGTATAAGTTTTCTTTTTTTCAGTGTAAAAATTTTCAATATCTCAAATTTTCAATTTTAATTTTTTTAATTTTTCATATTTTTCAGTTTCTCGAATTTTCCATTTTTTGTGTCTTCAATTTTTTATTTGAACCTTTTCTAGTTTTCATTTTGAATATGTAATAATAATTACAGTTTTTAAAATTCTTCACTTTTTCAATTTTATATTTTGTAATTTTTTCGTGTTTCAATTATTGCATTTTAAAACTTTTTCCATTTGTTCGATTTTTCGATTTTTAATTTTTCAATCTTCCAATATTATGAATTATTGGACTTTACATTGTTGACGATTCTATAATTTTTCGGTTTTCCAATTTTGGATTCATTATTTTTTTCGATTTTAAGTTTCTCGATTTTGAATTCGTCAGTGTTTCAATTTTTCATTTCTTCCGTTTCTAGGTTTGCAATTTTTCGTTTTTTTGTGTTTTCAATTTTTATTTTTTATTCTTCGATTATTTTTCCATTTGAGTTTCTCAAGTTTTCAATTATTAATTTTTCAATATTTCGTTTTTATAATCTTTTGTTTTTTCAGTTTTAATTTTTTTAGTTTTTCTTTTCTTCAATTTTTCGATATGCGATTTGTCTGTTTTTACATATTTTCAATTTTTCATTGTTACGATTTTATAATTTTTTGCTGTTTCATTTTCAATTATTAAAAATTTTTTAACTGTTCATTTTTTTTTCTTCAATTTTACAGTATGCAATTTTTCGTTGCCTTTTAATTGTTTTCTTGTTTTTTTTTTAATTTTACTATTTTTCAGTTCTCGGATTTTATCAGTTTTCTTTTTTTCAATGTGAAATGTTTCAATATTTAGATTTTTCAATTTTTCATTTGTTTAATTTTTGTTCTGCAATTCTTCCAGTTCTCATTTTAAATGAAACTTCAAAATTTAAAACAATTTTTCAATTTCTTGATATTTAATTTTTTCAATT